TTGTTTGTTTGTTTATTTGTTTGTTTGTTTGTTTGTTTTCAGGCCCGGCGGTTCGTTTCAGCAGCTTCTCTCCGAGCGGGCCGACTCCTCCTCCTCTGATTGGCCAGCACACCGTGCAGGTGCTGCGTGACACCTTGTCCTACAGTGATGACGTCATCAGAACGCTGCTGGAGTCGGGGGCGGTGGCCCAGAACGAAGCCTTCTGATTGGCTTCAGGAATCGGAGGCTGACTGATTGCAGCCAAAGCATCAATGAGGGAATCGATCAGAGAGAATCAGCTGAACTGATCATCAAAGATTGATTTAGGAGTTCTGATTTAGCTCTGAAGACCAAACACAGCCAATGGACAGGGAGCTCATGGCTGTGTTCATACACATGGTGCTGTTCCTGCTAGTAGAACAATGATCTTTACATGTATTTACTGAGAGGTCATCAAGAAGCTCCGAGACTTCCTGTGAAAGGAAACCTGTCCCTAATGACGACCTCCGTCCTGTCCGGAGCTGCTCTGCTCCCAGAGCTCCTGCAGCACTGGTCTGGAAACATCTGAAGTTGGTCAATCTGAGGTGAAACGCCTCTTCAGAAGTGACTTAAAGTCGCCCAAACTGGATCTGATTCAGCATTTGGCCAAAATGAAAGTGACTCAACAAAATGACGTCTAATTCCGTGATATGACTCAAAATGATCCCAAACTGAATCCGGTTTTGTCCAGAACTTGTTCTAAATCGCTCCACATCCGTCAGATCACTCCATTGTCCAAAAGAGTCGTAGTTTGCACGCCGGTGACTCCCGTCCTGGAACTTTTTGATAACCTCTCACAGTACATTTTGTCGTACAAGTTTCACTCCTCTGAACTCAGGATGGAAAAAGAAAAAAAAGACTTTTAAAGTAAAAGCATTTTGTAGCTCTAAATGACAATCAGCAGCTAAAATGAGACGACACAAGCTGCAAACTGAAGTCTTTGTGTTGATCTTTAGAAACGCTCCAAAGCACTCCTTCTTCTCCGTTCACTCCTTGAAGAACTGTTCGTAACTCTGGAAAACACCGGTTTGTACGAGCAGCTGCTAATAAATCTGATATTTTAATATTGTGAGCATTGACATCAGATGAGTCGGCAGCTTTGTGGTCGTTTTTTTCAGTGTCGGTGTTTTTCGTCTCCTGAGTTTGATCACTTTCCAGCTTCGTCTAAGCGTTCCTGAACGCACCACGATCATCTCACCAACAGCTCAGACTGAGTGGGAAACGTAAAGGTGTTCAACTATCAGCTGTTATTGATTATCTATCGGTTTGGAAACTTGATCCAGATCTCTGTTCGGTAAGTGCAGCTGTGTCATTACTGACAGAAATGACCGACTGTCTCGATAAGACCAGAGCTGAAGGTTAAACGTTGGGAGAACCTGTTAAAAACGGTGTTTCCTCATGAAACACTTGTTTAAATGAGAACTGAATCTGTTTTGGCTGTAAACTCACGACCTGCTTATAGAATAGTTTTGTCGTCCAGAACACGGCGATCACACTGACAGTGGCAATAATTACTTGAGGAGTTCCTCACGGCTCCTTTCTCGATCCTTTGTTGTTTGAAATGAGTTGAAGTTGACTTGAAAAGCTGATACTGGTACTGATAGCACATTTTCAGGCTCAGGACTTCATTTTTGGGGTCTACTAGAACCTGTTCACCTGCTTTAAAGTCCAAGAACACATTGTTTTCACATACTTATGATGCTAATAATGAAGACAGAAGAAACGGAAGAAAAGCCTGAACTTCACCCCAGGAGGTTCAGGAAGGTCAGGAGGAGCTTCAGAGTAATTCTATCCACAAAAGAGCTGCTACAAAACACACCGATGGAAGCAAAAGCAGCTTCAGAACACTGAGAACAATCAAATGCAATTTAAAAAATGACTCGACAGCAACACAAAATGACCAAACGCTTTTCCAAAAGGTCTCAAAATGTATTAAAAATGTCCAAAATGTCTCTGAATTGGTTTTTTTTTTAAATGATTCAAGGATGTGCAGAAAAACTCAAGAATTGTTTAAAGGTACCAAAAAAAAAAAAGAAAAATAGAAAGAAGCAGTTCAGTGACTGAAAAACATGAAAGTTTTCCAGAAATTATTCAAAAATTGTCAAAACTGACAAAAAACCTTAAAAGTCAAAGTTTCCAACCTTACGAAGGCCTGCCAAAAAAAATACTCAAAATCTCACAAAAATGTGTCCAAGATGTCCTAAAATTGGTTCAGAATTTAATCAAATGTGTTTAAAATGACCCAACATTGTCCAACATAAAACTTTTTCAGATATAAATGAAATGATGAGTTAAAAAAAATCTTAAATGGCAAAAAGCAACCGTCCAAAATTACTCAGAATGTGTTGAAAATTACAAACATCTGTCAAAATCGATGAAAAATTACAAAATAAAAGTCCAAAATGTGTCAAAACTTGTTAAAATTGCTTCAAATCTTTCTGAAATGACTCTAAATGATCTGAAATGACCACATTTGTCCTCAGCGACAGTTTTCACAGATGACTGACAAAAGCCTGTTAAAAACGACTGTTTCCTGAAAACGACCCAAAATGTCTCCGAATCTTTTTAAAATACTCAAAACTTTTGATAACAGCTGAAGAAACTCGCTGTGGCGTCGTTTTAGACTAATGTCGCCCTTCCACACGTAGTTTTTAAGCACATGCTGTGGACGCTGAATCATCTTTAGCAGGTTTTTGCACATTTTTTTATTCATGTTCAGAAGCTTTTTGGCATTTTGGACATTTGCTGAGTCTTTAGTTTTTTTAACGTTTTCTAATAGCTTTGGACAGATTTTTGTCAGTTTGGACTCCTCTGAGGCACCGTGTCGGCCTTTCTGTCTGTTCTCGGTTTGTTTGCTGTTTGATTCAGTCCTCGTGTGTCTCTACTTCCTCCTTTGATGACCTTCACCACGTCCACCTGGGCCTTGGTTCCTTACTTCCTGCTTCTCATCGCGTTCTGCTGGGTGAGTTCAGTTTGCTCACCTGAAACTTCCCGCTAACTCAGCGTTTGTCTGCACTTTGCTGGTCATTCACAAAAACTTTGGACAATTTTAAGTTGTTTTTGCCTGAACTTGACTGATTTTTAGGCCGATTTCTGTCATTTTGGACAGTTTGGGGAACTGTGGAGGTGAGCTTGAAGCCTCCTTTAACCTTCATGTGGTGAGAATTTGCATAAAGCTTTAAACAAAAGTTCAAGAAAAGTGAGTGGAGTTTGGTACAGACGTCATTAAACATACAAAAGAAAACTGAATGTGCAGCTTTGGGGGCGTTGGCCTGTTAGAACCAAGAAAGAACCAAACAGGATTTGGAGGAACACGTACGTCTACAAACTATAGGCCGTATTCGACCATCACGCATGTTTTTTAAAGTAAATCCAGTTTATTTTGTTTGCAGGAGGATGTAGGAGATTGATGGCGGATTTCACTAAAATTAGACAAAAAACAAGTGGAGTTTGGTGCACCAAGATAACACGCTCCAGCATCACACGACTGTCCACGCAGACTGGATGATGTCCACGGACTTGTGGCCACACAGTACTTACTCGATATTCTGCCTTCATCTGCTTCACAAACTGAACCATGTTTGTATTTTAGCAGCAGACCAGCCGAGTGAAAACAGGCTGGAGCTAAAATTCAAGGAAAAGTGAGTGGAGTTTGGTACAGAGGAGAAACTGTAAAATTCCCCAGGATAAAAGAATTTAAAGCAATGTGCAGCTTTGGGGGGGTTTGTCCAGTTAGAAAAAGAAAGAAGGTGTCCTGTCAAGGTGAATCTTGGCTTCCGTTTTCAGCAGCAGGACGGAGCTGCGTGTTGTCAGATTTCACTAAAATTCAAAGAAAAGTGAGTGGAGTTTGGTGGAGAGCGGCCAGCGTGTCTGGACCGGAGGGAGGCGTCCACATGCTTCTGGCCTCGTCATGTTGGAGGGGAGACACTCGCATGTTTGTTTGTGTTCTTTGTGTTTGGTTGTTGTGTGTTTTTTGGGGGACTTTTGCAGATGAGCGGTGCTTCTGGGCGGCTGGTGGCCTTTGTCTGCTCTGCTCTGGCTGCCTTTGTGTTGAACTCAGTGTGTGAGAGAGAAATTCGGATGTACGTAACTCACCAGCTCTTTAAGTGTCTCTTATTCCCCAACATCTGGACTGTGTGTGTGTGTGTGTGTGTGTGTGTGTGTGTGTGTGTGTGTGTGTGTGTGTGTGTGTGTGTGTGTGTGTGTGTGTGTGCAGGAAGCGCAGAGGTTTCAGTCCAGCCTAATGTTGATCGCAGACACACTTCTATGAGAGAGACAGACTCTAATATAACGTTTGGTAACACTGAGGTCACCGTCCCGCCTCACGTCACATCGGTGGGACTTTTATTTTGAAGGATCGTATTACAACGAGCCGCCTGCAGGCGCCCCGCCGACGAAGGTACGCCGTGATTGGTCAGATTTAGGAAGAATTTGGATCCTTTCTTTGAGGTTTTGCGTCTTTTTGTACAAAAACTGAAGCTGTCATTAAAAATAATAATAATAATAATAATAATAATAATAAAAGTTCCGTCTTTGAGCTCATATTTACAAAATAAATCTAAAAGCGACCCAGTGACGTCCTCTGACCCGCACCTGGCTCCTCTGTCCGCTGGTTCTGGACCGTTGCTGCATTTAGTCATTGATCCAGTCGGTTGGTCTGGTTACCTTCAGAACCACACGTCACACGCTGCGTTCAAGGACCGACAGGAAGTGGGAAATCCTGGCGTTTCTGTGTTTTTACACTTTCTGACTGAAAAATGGAGTCACCTTGTTGAGTGACCTTATCAAGTCACGTTGTCGAGTCACGTTGTCGAGTCACGTTGTCGAGTCACCTTGACTCCATCTGTCTCCTGCAGAGCGACTCGGACCTGGAAGCAAGTCCTCGTTCTGAAGCAGCAGCCGAGTGATGCAGTCTGCCGTGTGAAGTGAAGGCGAGCTGCAGAGTGTGTGAGGTGTTTATGGTGGAAACACACACACACACACACACACACATGCAGAAAACACAGATGTGCACACACTCGGGTCTCCCTCATATGACGTCCGGCGGGAGTTTCCCTGGAAACCACTTCCTGATGAGAGCCGGATGGAGACAGAGATGAAGATGGAGGCGTGATGCAGCTGCAGCAGCTGGATTTAACATTAAAGCAGCCTTCACACACACACACACACACACACACACACACACACACACACACCTGTCACCAGGATGTGTACTCTCGGTTGCCATGGCAGCGCCGCCTCTTTCCTCTTCCTCTTGTTCTGTCGTCAGGTCATTGGGAGGAAGCGCGATGGATCCAGCAGAGACTTTCAGTCGACAAAATCTGACAAAGAAAACACGACAGTTTATCTTTTAAAGGTCCGAAACGGAACCATTTATCAGCCAGAACCTGTAAAAACACTACGTCCACTGATGTTCAGCTCTCCGACGGTCCTTGAACTAATCATCTCAGACATGTGGCTCCAACTGAAAGTCAACCGAATCTGAGCTTAAAATCTTTCATTAAAATCATTTTGTTCTACATTCAGAACTTCTCCAGAACAAAAGTGTTTATAGAAACCATGAAGAGCTACAGCCTGGTCCTCCTGGTTCCACCTGGTTCTCCATCAATCTTCAGAGAGCTTCAGGTGAACTGCAGCCAGAGTTTCCTCAGAGAGACTGAAGGAGAATCCAACCTACTGGATCAATGTATAGATGCAGCACGGATCAGAACCAGAGACCAGAGGAGCCAGTTGGTGGAGATACATTCATCTGATGGTGGAACATCTTTCTACTGATGGTGGAACATCTTTCTACAGCTGATGGTTCTGTTAAAATACAGATAATATCTATTAAATCTTCATGTTGACTGTCAACAAAAACAAACAAAAAGTTCAAATGACGTCATGAATCTACTTCTGGTTCGTAGAATGACAGTTTTCACTTTATTTCAATCGGCACCAAAAACAAGAGATTTTACAGAAATCTGTCAGATTGAGGATTAAAAAACGGTGAATGTTCTTTTAGACGTCTGTAACTTTTCTTTTCCAGGTTTTCAGCTGAACGCAGCTCTTTTTTTTTCTTCACAGTTTTTATTTATTTGTTTTTGACG